AAAAAAAAAAAAAAAAAAAAAAAGAAAAAAAAAAAAAGGAAAAAAAACCCCTACATGATTGCAAATTGTCACATATTAAAATACAGAATTTCTTATGAAAATTAAAAAAATATGTATGATTTTGATCTAAGCACAGCTAGCCAAATGGAAAATCTACTAATCAACTCATGTGAGAAAGAAGGGTGTACTATTTTCTTGTTACAAGTAATAACCCTTATTAGTTCTGACTTTAAAATTTTGTGAATTTGGGTTGCCCTGCTTTCTTCACTAGAGACTGGCACAAGTATGCACTTTCCTGTCCCTACAAGGTTTTTTCATCTTTTGTCAAAATCAGATGTCAGCTTTGCAAACAGCTTTGCAAAAGTGCTGCCCATGTCAGGAAATGGTTTACTTATCTTCCAGGCATGTCTTCATATATTCATTCTTACATAATTCCTGTACAGTTTTTAAAAAACTAAGATGTTAAATTATTGCTTTAGTATAAAGGCAAAAGTCATTATGTTTTAGGTTCATACCTAGATAATTTCTACCTTACTTTCCCTCTCTTTGTATTTTCTTGTTCTGACCAAATGTCTAAGGCTTCTTTGTTTTACTCTGTTTCACTTCTGACAATTCTTCCTGTGGTTCTTGGAATCTTAAAAATCCTTTCTGGTCAATGCTTTTTTTTCCCATTTGGTTTTTTACTCTTTATATTGTTCTTGAAGAAACTATTTGTCCAGCCCTCGCAAAGTTTGTTCTTCTTAGCTGTGATAACTTCTTCTTAACTGTGATAACTGTTATATGTTATGTGAAGAATAAAATCTAATCTGAAACAAGAGACAGATTCTAGACTTCATCTTCTTGATAAGCCTTTGTTTTTTCTCCTACTGAGTCTTCCATTCCTTGTTCAGGATTTAACAATGGGGTGAGGGCCCTTTTTTAGCTAAGTGTGCAGCGGAAGGATAAAAAATATTTCCTGGAACGTGAGAAGCCCCATTGGTCTCATAAATAAAAAGAACTCAGATTTCTGTAGAACTGATTTAGCCAGGTGATTATTTAATAGAAATAAATCCTAATATCTTTTTCCAGTATCACTTTTGGTCTAATTAAACTAAATAATCAGTAAAACAGAGAAATCAATATCTTATGTCAACAGTCTAATATAGTTTATATTAAGACTGTGTATTGGCTTCAGGTTCAGTTTTGTGAGACATTGCAGAGAGAAGATGAAAAGAGATTGATTATTCATTGTTATGTGTACAAGCCAGCATGTAATTATGCTAACAAGTACTACACTTTTCATGTACTATATTATAGTAGTTTGAAAAATTGCTTATAAATTATAGTAGCAATGGCATGTTTAGTTGAGTGTTGATTATTTATTTATTTATCTATTTATTTCTAATGTTTTCTCTTGCGTTCTCTTCTTTAGAGTACTCGAGTAGCTTTAGACCATCTGGAGTCTGTTCCTGAGAAACTGAGCCTCTTAGAAGATTTCAAAGATATTGGAGTGAGAACGACTTCACTTGACTCTTTTAGTAGTTCTAAATTATTTCAATTAACTAACGTTAACCCCATATGTATAGATAAATCAGTTAACAAGATACATCAAATTACATATGACAAAAACATACAGTAAGCCATTTTTTTTTTGCCTCAGCTTTACTGAGGCCGTGAATTTAGTAGTAGGTAGTAATACAGGTGAGGTGTTCCATAATGCAAGCAAATGTTTAGTACTATGTGTAGGTTGCTCAGAAAGTAATGCTAATTATTTCCATGGAAACTGCAGCAGATACAAAGAGCACAACACTGTTTGACAGAGCAAATTCTCAGCTACAAAGCAGTATTTTTCAGTGTAGTCACCACCAATAGATGTGTGTTTTTGCCAGCAATAAATAGGAGCCTGCACGCAGTGCTTGTCAGGGGAAATGACCCACTATTTCACAGCTGCCATGATGGGCTGTTGCTGAAAAATATTGCCTATGCAATATTTCATGTTTCACCTACCCAAGCATATGGAAGTCAGAATATGCCAAATCCAGAGTGTACAGTGGGCATGGTAGGACTGTCCAGACAAGACTGGCAACGTGTTGTATGGTCTTCAAACTGATACAGAGCCTGCTCTTTTCATGTTGCAAGAAAAAGGTTGTCACCTTCTCTGGCCTGACTCTGGAAATTTGAGCTTCATAGAGCAGCAGACAGTTGATGGTTTGTCTGAATTCCAGGAAATCCAGAAGGATCACCCCTTTCTTATTGCAAAAGACAGTGCACATCAGTTTACACCCTTACAGCTGCATCTTGAATGTTTTCTTCAATGTGAAATTCACATGTGGCTCCTCCATGGACTGCTTTTTTGTCTCCAGCTAATAATGGTGACACAGTATCTCATCACTGATAATGACATGATGCAGGAAACTGTCACCTTTAGCTTCATGTCAATTAAATAGGTTGTGACAAACTTGCATACAGTGCTCTTTCTGTTTCTCTGTGAGCATTTGTGCAACCCACTTGGCGCAAACTTTGTGATATTCCTACAATACTGCTATCATTTCCAAAACACTGAAGACAATATTCAGCTCCACACACAGTTCTCTGGTCAAATAAGCTAAGTTCTGCTAAGATACTGATTGACGTGCTCTTTATTTCATGGTTTGGCAGCTGTGCATAGCTGTTTGGAATGAGGTTTGTCTTTCACTTCATTGTTGCCACTGCTGACAGCAGTCGCCACATCACCCACTGCCTCAGCTGTGCTCACACCCACTGTTTGAACTCTAGACTTTCAGGAAGCATCCACAAATGTGAAAAGATGTAGTTTTTTTTCCGCATGAGGGAATTCCATGACATCCCTTTGCTTCATCTGCACTTCCAAGTCATATGCCATTCTATCAGACTGCCCCTCTGCTGCCATCTGTTGCACAGCAACAACATGTAATGGAATATTGGTGGGAAAGTTCGATCTCTGTTGCCATGCCACCAACATCCACCTCTGGCACTGTGGGCAAACATAATAAAATAAAAAATCATTACTTCCAGAGCAAATGTCGGAATAGGTCAAAACGTAATTAGCAACTCAGAATATATGTAGAGAGTGTCACATTATAATAGTCATTAGAAGAGTTGTTACTTAAAACATTTTTCTAAAAAACTGTAATTAATTTTTATACATTGCAAAATTCCTTTGTTAGAAGCTATGAAATTTTGGAAAGAGTTACCAGACAATCAATCACCAATGAAGGATTACTTTTTAATATTTAATATTAGTATTTTGTACATAAAAAACATCATACTTTCATATGGCCCTTGTATTTCAGCCTCTGAAAGTTAGTGATTCTCTCTCCTGAGCTGCATGGAAAATCCTGGATACCCATATAGGCAGTAGCCAACCAATTTTTGCTAACTGATTTTCAAATTACAATATCATTTATATATTTCAATGCTTTTCTAGGAGTCCCATTGCAGGAGGGAGATGATTGAGGAGAGGTATACAAAGTATAAAGAAATAGTGACTTCTCTGCAGCAGCAGCTGGAAGGCTCAAAACAAAGAGCCCAACAATTCAAGGTAAGTGTGTGTACTACACTTTGGTTTTGTGATTGCTTTTAGTCAGCAACGTAAGGTTATTTAGCGTATATTAACTCATGATGCAAAAACAGACTAAAAATGTATGTGAATTGTTGCTGTTTCTTTCCTGGAATGGCAAAGTTTTGTGTAACTGCTATAGTAGTTGTAAAATTTGGTGACATTTTGTTGTCTTTGTTATAAACTGAAATATTCCAAAAACTCTTAAAAATTCCATGGAAAAGCAAATCTGTACTTTACTATTCTCAAGTCTTAGGTTGTACCACTGCTTTGCCAAATTATGTTCACAGTTTTTTGATTGGTTTGTTTGCTTTTCCCTTGTCCTTTTAGGTTTAAGAGAGCTATTGAATTTTTTTTTTTTGTTAATTGATTTGTAGACTGCAAATAGTGTTGTTTTTTTTTTTTAGTACTTCATCTCTGTATTCTTTACAATCATGTCTATTTCATACATAAACAAAATTGAGGGAGAGTAGTGATTTGCTAAAGGTAATGTTGAAATTCAAGTAATGTAAAAAAGTAAGAAATAACGTTGTTGTTCAAGTAGTGCTGAAATAAATGTTCAGAATTGAGAACTGAGAATTTTCTGCTATTGCAATCAGGATTCATTGACAGTGTCAGGTGTGTCTCTTGGCAGTTGAGGTCCCAATGTAGGATCATGCCCCATGTTACAAAAAAACTTCAGGCTGTTTGTGTTGCCACTTCCTCCACAGCAGTCTTCTAAAATATGAGCCTACCTAACAGTAGGTTTTTTAACAAGAGGAAAAGATAAAATAGAGTATTTTAGCTGAACAAGTCGCTGCTGTAAGACAACACTGTGAAACTACCTGAGCCATGTTCTTCTGTATGAAAAGAACAGGGCAGATTCACTTTCATACTATTGCTACTAGTAGTCTGCAGTTTCTGGAATTTCTCTTGCCTTTACAAGACTTAATAATTCAGTGGCCATTGAAATCTGGAAAATACTGAAAATCTAAGTGGAATGTAATCAACTTAGAACAGAATATAGTATTGACCTAAACTGACTGAGCTTACTGATGTGATGTGTTCAAAATCTGTGAAAGGCTGATTCCAAACTGATGTTTCCTCTATCTTTAGACAAGAAGGAGCATTTAATGACTTCCTTTTAGTCAGTTCTAATTGTTTTTTTGCATGACGTACAGTCCTCTTTGCTGTCACAGCTGTTACAAATAGAACAGAACGTTCAAAAACAAGTAACATACGGGTGCTAATCTGATTGCAGTGGTCAGGCTGGCTTAGTCTAAAAAATCCGTTTTTAATGCTTGCCTTTCTTACCCTCCCTTGGAACTGACTCAAATGCATTGTTGTTTCTTTTCTAAAAAGTGTTTACTGTTAGTTAGTAGGGAGTCTCTAAAATTGATTGGTGAAGGATTGTAGTCTGGAGGACATCAAAGTTCATTGTTTGTGATGGTTTTGATTCATGCTCTGCACACTGTTATGTTTCTCCTGTGAGAAGTTGACAGATATTTGGTAGATAATATTGCTTGAAGACACTGGCTGTGAAATACCTGTTGCTTAGAATGTCAGCAAAATCATAATTTGCGTTCCTATAGGTTAAAGTGTAACGTTTCAGCTAATAAAGGACGTCAGACGTTGAGGGTGATTTTTCAACTAACGAGCTAATTGTTAGTAGCTAAAGAAGAAATTAGGGAAAAAGGAGGTAAATATAACCAGTAATAATAAAATAAGGAGTAAAGAATACCAGCTAATGCAAAATCAAAAGAAAAAGCTAGAAGAAACCTAAAGATTGTTGTTTTGAACAGATTAAAATATTCTAGGACAGTTTCCCTGCTAAAAACAACTGACCACTTAGTTAAATGCATGTAAGTATTAAAAAAATCACGTGAGAAAAATACAGTATGTAAATGCAAATTTCTGTAAAGAAAAAGCAGATTGTGGTGTACATACCTTGTTTGTTCTTTTTTTTTTTTTAAAGCTCTACTATAACAAAGCATTTCTGGAAGCAGATTGGAAAGACTAAATTTTTATTTTCTTTTAAAGTTGTTGTTCTGTGTACATTTTGTGTACTAAGTCTCTCATCAGCACATAGGGTAGCACAGTAGTAATTCCTATTAGTCTTAATAGGAGTAAATCTCTCTTCACTGATGGGACAAAAGCTTATTGTATCTCTAAATTAACTTTGAAATTTATTTTATTTCCTGTTCGGTTTTCAAATCTTAGCATCAGTATTAACAGTAATTTGAAATCTGTTTTAACAAAATTGCCTTGGGGTGTTTATCATAAGAATTCAGAAGCAAAACTGTATGGTTTATATACTGATGCATTTGTGCATTATTATCTTTTCTCATTTCAAGAAACTGAGTAATTAGGATACCAAAGCAAGCTTTTAATCTTATGTTAGAAGCTATTGATTACAACTGTGGACCACCTGTTGCATTGTTAATAAGGATTCAAATAGGCTTTTAAAAAATACATTCTTTTCATAGCTTGCAAACCAAATGACTTTTCTCACTGAAAAGCTATGTTGTACAGGTCTGGCCATAAATATTAACATTGAACTTCAAACTTTATTAAATGATTAAAAGAAAACAAAAGTGAAAAAAACATCTTCAGGTACTTTGATATGAAAAATCAGTGAAGTTGGAGTTTCCTCAGAGGCATGGAAAATGGATTTAAATTTTATTATTACTAAATTGTTGAACTTTAGTAAATTGATGTAGACCATTCATTGGTGGAAACTTCATTATTTGTTGATGCCTGTCTTGCCAATATGCTTTGCCTTGCACTGTGGATGTGAGGTAGATAGAGAAAAGAACATTATTGCAACTGATGATAGTAACAACAACAGTGCTCCCAGTGGTTTTCTCAGCTGAAGATTTTCAAAGATTTTGCAGTGATAAAACCTATTGTCTGCCTACAGAATTCATAAGCAAATATCTATTACAACACGTATTTGAGAATTCAAATCAGTATTCTCCAAAATGTGTGAAATCAGAGCATAGATATATGTAACAGCATGTATTTTGTAAAATTTTACAGCTTAATGATGTGAAATAGTATTTTGTTTAATTGGCCATAGGATGGATGCAGCAGCCATGTGGAAATGGATGCCGAAATTTCTGGTATACAAGTGGCTGCTTCTTCTTCTAGTTGGCAAACTCAAAACAACTTTTTGTCCAGCTCACTGCTCTCAGATTCTAGTTGTAAGTATTGTTTCATGGGAAAAAAAAACCAACACACAACAGGTAATATATTTTCCTCTTTTAAAGTTGTTTTACTTGAACAAGTATTAAGAAAAAGTGCTAGAACTTTCTGAAGAGTTCTTCTATATTTCAGCATTAGGTACCAGATAGATGTCTGTTTCTGTGAATAACTTTGTAACATCATAATTATACCTTTATTTTTAACTAGAAAATAAAATATGTATGTTTGTCAGCCAGACCTTTTCCAAAGAATTTGGTTTTGCAATCTCTACATGAACAATCATGCATGTGTAAGCTGTGCATCTTCTCAGAGGCTAAAGATATGTTCTAAGTCTCATGACTGTGCAGCAACTTAATAAGAGTTGAATTCACTAATTTTGCCTCTACTTCAAAAGTTTTTAACAATTCTTTCTAGTGCATGTGTATAACTTGTGGTCATTAGAGGTTACCTGATCTCTGATACAGATGGGAACTGCACAAAAAAAGTTAAGATATATTAGATCTTTATCTGGTGCAAGAATACCTTTCCATGAGTGTCAGAACTGATTTAGAAAAAAATGAGTATACATACAGAAAAGAAAACATGTATATACATATATATAAGCACACATATACCTATATGTGTATATATACAATTCTCAGCATACCAGATATCAGCATAAGGATGTCAAAAACTTTTATTCTGAAGGATACTACCTTCCATTTCTTTTCAATATAACCAGTTTGTGCTTTGGCAACCTAGTGCATTCTGTGTAATGGAAAGTCCTATTTCAGGCTTCATTGCACTTCCAAACATCTTTGTCATGGAATGAATACTGTAGTAAATCACTGCTCACCAACAGTAAGTCCTGAGTTGATCTGGTAAGGTTGAAGACAGTTGCTTTCTTTTCCTCTCAAATTCTGTAGCTTGTGATTAAATATCTTTTTGCAGAACTTTCTGAATAACAACAGTGGAAACAAAGCATATGGGTGAAAGCCTCGATCTCATCTGTACTTCAGGAACAATTTTCCCTGATTCAAAGTTGTTCTCCCATTTTTCTTTAATACCTGTCAATGTCTTTCCAAGTTAAATACAGCTCAATTGTTAAGGGTATGTTTCAAAAAAGGGACAACCCATACTTTGCGGGCATGTTGAACAAGTTCATCTCCAAAAGATCTACCTTAGCAGCTTCCTGCTGCTTTTCTGCAATTCCACTGCAAAAACTTGTGGAAATTTGAAGATGCAGCACGAATGCTCACAAAATATTAGAAATATGTTTATATTGCTTAATATGAATGAAACTTGATGGGATTTCAGTACTTTTAAATTTATTTTGGGCTGGATCTCAGTTTTTGCTCTTCCACTTCTGAAAAAGAATGCAGAACATATGGAGAAACTCCACTTGTTGCAACTGGCGTGCACTAAGTGAGAACATGGTGGGTGAAGGAGCATTGTTGTAGAAGTGCAGTTTGTAAGAATAGAGGTGCTGAATGAGGTGCAGTAAGCTCCATGCAACATATTTCTAACATGTTCAAATTAGTCAATTAAGGAATAGTGTTGTTAGACTTAATTTTTTATACAGCTGATCACTTAAAGGAATTAATTGAATAAGGAAAAACAATTTCCATTTCAACTAAGGCTGTTCTATTCTACCCTGTTCTACTATATTCTATTTCAATTTTCTTCTAGCAAAGAGCATTATATTTGATAGAATTAATGCCAGTGACTTACAAATGCTAAAGATGTTCTGCCTCACACAGGAGTGGATGATGGTAGGTTATAGTTTTGAAACTGAAAGAGGATTGTATTTGGATAAAACATAGATTATCTTTCTCAGGCATCTTCTTAACAAAGGAGACAGTATTATTATTATCAAGAACAGGCATGCGGCTGAGGGTTGAATGCTGTAGTGTATGCAGCCAATTATTATTTTGCTTCTTTTCTTTCAAATTTTAAAAGTAATCACAATTATCCACGTTGCTTTTATAGCTTTAATGAGACTTAATGCCATACTGAGGCCTGGTAGTAAGATTAAAACTTCTTTTCTATCTTATTCTATAGGTAAGATGCTCCTAACTCTTAAAGTTGCAATACTTGCAGAGCATTCTTGGCTAAGACATAAATTGAAAAAGCCCTTGAAAGAGGCATATTTCTAATATGTCTTCTAATAGTCTAATATTTCTACACTGGGGGAGGAAAGAGAAGAGCTCCAGTTCTGATAAGGAATATATGAGGAACCTGAATACCAATCTAGCAAGCCAGTTTTGGATATTTTTTTCTCTCCCTCAACTGGAAAAGTTTTCTGGAGATGAAAAATAAATTATGGAAGACAGTAATGATTCAGTGTTGATCATTATGAAATATTTGCAAAATCTTCAAAAGTTCTGAAAGGCTTCTTCTGAAACCATGTTTAGATGTGATTAAGGGACTGTTGTGTTTTTTCTTCTGGAAAGTGTTTTCTAAATCATAAGTTAATCGTATCTTCATAGTTCATATATTCCAAGTCTCACAATGGTGCTAGAAAGGTTTTACAGCACATGTGTTTTACCTTTTTCTATTAATTTTTAAGGGAAAGAAATTGGTTATGAAAATACTTGGTGTTTTATTTCCTTATTTGCATTCTATTATAAATCCATTTGTCAGATTTTCTGGGAGCTAAAACCAGGCAGTAGTCTAAAGAGATTTCTATCCCTGATTTTATTTGATTCTGATGGAATGAAAGTGTTTTTAATTTCTCATTTTGCTGATTATTTTCGCACGAGTGCTTTTAGATATTTCTTATGCTTAATTAATAAGTAGGAGAGCAAGTCAGGTGCCTGTCTAAGATTTTTCATGTTGGTTTAGATGTCCTAGTGTATGCTTCCACCTGTCATTGCAGGAAGGCAGAGGTTTCCCATAGGTTTCATCACATATTTTGCATCCCTTTCTGATGCCTCAGAGCACTAATGCATTTGAGTTACGCCCTGAACACTTATTAGTGATTGAATGTTTTATACTGAACCACTTCTCCACCAGTCAAATTTTGAAGTATATTTTAAAGTTGTTGATGTAGTTTCAAGTGAAAATTTTGCAGTGATTCTAACATTTGGGAGCTTTTCTTGTAAGAAAAGGAGAGTGGTTAGGCCCTGGAACGGGCTGCCCAGGGAGGTTGTGGATGCCCCGTCCTTGGATGTGTTTAAGGCCAGGTTGGACAGGGTCCTGGGCAACCTGATCTGAATGTGTGTGTTTGGTGGCCCTGCTAGGCAGGGGGGTTGGAACTACATGATCCTTGAGGTCCCTTCCAACCCGGGTGATTCTGTGATTCTGTGATTACTAGTAAGTGTTAAATGATAAAATCAACTACTTCACTCATCTTAGTCACATAAACTCCATGAACTTTTAATTTCAGTAATGATATTAATTAATTATAACTTGAGGCTTTGACAGTGAAGTCTAGATCGAGGTCTTTTGCTCCCAAACCTCCTGTGGCTTTTAATAAATCTACCTGTAAGTGTCATCAGCTATTTGCTATGACTAATTCATCTTTTTTTCAGAAATAGAAGACCTTTCTTTTCAATTCATTTTTCCAGAACAGTTTGCAAGCCTTTGTGTTACAGCGTATCCCTACTCTCTTAGACACATGAAAACTAACAGATTTTAGTCAATAGCTAGTACAAAAAAGTTACTTCCTAACACCAGCTTTGTGTGACATTTAAAGAGCATCAGGGTAGAGGGCAGACGCATACTTTATCTTTGGAGGGAAACCTGGGATTTAGGTTCAAAATTGGTTGAAGAAAGGGAAAAAAAAATGAAAGAATAAGTAAGAAAACAATCCGCATCTCTCTCTCTATGTGTGTAACATAGTGTTGCCAATTCAGCATGCAGGTGAAAGGAAAAGTAATTGGCATTCTGTTTTCTTTGGTCTACATCTTTCTACCTGAAGGATTACTACAACTATAATGATTTTTCTTTAAAAAAGAAAAAAAGCTATTATAAAAATGTTGTGGAAATTTAAGCTTTTATTTCTATACTCATGTTCTTAAAAAGGAAGATGTGTAAGCTATAATATAATTTATACAAGGAACTTCATTAGATACAGCTTGCAGTCTGCAATGTTATCAGACCAAACAGTTGGTCTAAAAACTCAGCACTGGTTGTTATCTAAAGAATAATCCTCAGAAACTGTTTTTCATGATCACTGTAATTTTCTATAATTTTATATTATGAAGGTCCCAGGAGTTGCAGATGCTTTACATTATCTTTGAAAGTTGGATCCTGCCTTTCTCTTTGTACAGTTCATCACTTCAAGGCTTTAGCTTGGATAGTTTCCCAGCAGCCACATGTCTTTCTGGCTTTCTGTTGTTTTTGGGAATTCATTTTCCAGGGCTTCATTAGCTGTGACTTTATGGAGAATAAAATAGCCACCAGTTTTCCCAATCTGTAGCTAAGATCACAGTCTTCTCCGACTCTTTGGATCTAGTGATAAACAATACTCTTGTTTTGACGTGGTCTATAGTACAATTGATATCATGGTTGAATAAAAGCAATTTGTCCTAAAAGTTGGTTTTTATTGCCATGACAATTAATTCCTGCAATGTATCCTGATGCCTCTCTTTATCCCTCTATATATACTTTTTCATAAGCTTTTAAGACAATTTGAATTGAGATTTATAAATAAGTAGCTTAATTAAAATTAAAAAGACATTATAATGTCATGATGCTGTAAGACAAACTTGTGTTGCTCAGTGGTAAGAAGCATGGACAGTTGGAAACTGTAAAATGAAAATTCATTCAGTACAGCAATTCTATGTATGATTTTTCATTTTTTTCTTAATTTGAAAGGCCATACAGTAGTGTAATTCTGGACAAATGCTGAAGGTTTTATGCTCAAAAATGTTTACTCACTGTTTTACTGATGTTGCAAACACAGTGATTTTGTTTTCCATCTGGACATGAAAACATCTCACTCCTCTTAATTAAAGTATGAGGACGTGATCCCTACTAAATGATTATATATGTCTACAATTTTACTGCACACTTCAGAAATTGCCCTTTGGTATTTGTAATAAACAATCAAGAAGTACCACAATTCTTACATTTGTATGATAGAGGAGAGGCCATTGAAGAAAATTATATTTTATGTAACATCTACTTTGTTCCCCTTCATTTCTGCCTTTGTCAAATAATTGCCAGTTGTCTGGATATTTGGATTTTTTTTTGTCCAGCACTTTATTATAAGATGGTTTCCCAATTTATATTTTCTAGATTTTGATACAATGTAATGTATTTAGCATTTTATATGTGGCCAGTTGCAAAAAAATATACATGGTATGGCATCCTGTGAATGTTCAGAGTCACTTGCTGACTTTATGCTATTGAACATGGCATTTCCTCAAGAATTTTCTGAGTGGTTTGTTTTGTCTTATATAAATGAAGGCGTTGTAAAATTAGATGGAAATGGGATGTTGTTAAAAGTTCTGAATATCAGAAAATGCAGAAGTTTATGGTTTTTTTTGTTTTTTTGTTTTTTGTTTTTTGTTTTTTGTATAAGGAAGATATGTTGTCCACATCCATATTAAGCAGATTTGGATTGTATTTCTCTGAAAAAATGAGTCTGTTTTGTCAACTTGTAGCATTACTAGTATTGAATACTTATTAATGACATGTATTCTGCTCTGTAAAATATATTACTGCATCATGAAACATAGTCATGCTCTGCAAAGTACGTCTTTTTCTGACGGTGTTTAATTGTTTTGATTTTTTTTGTTTCTATTTTTGTCTGATTTTTTAGCACATATGCAGAGAATAATCCCTTTTGATACAAATGCTACCAAGGAAGATTCTGTTAATGTTGCCATCAGTGAAATGAAGCTGCAAGCAGGAAGAGGGAAACAGTAGGACATTTTACAAAAACTCAGAAGACTTTTTTTGAACTGGTAATTCCATCCACTGTAGGAGGAAACATCCGTAACAATTCAATGATTGCCAAACACTTCAATGAAGAGTCCCAAAAGAGACTCTGATCAGCTCCTGTAACCTGTACACCAAAGGTTTTCTGAGACTGTGATATTCTTTTGCATTTTGCTCTGCAGTTCTAAACTAAATTTATTGTATCCCTGAAATATTATGAATTTAAAGAACTGTGACATTAATCTTTGATATTTACCCATGTACAGGACTTGTGCTGACGTGTTATTTAAAAAGATTTAATAATATTAGTAACAATCAGAACTATCCATAAAAAATGTTTGTCCTAATATTTATTGAGTTATTATAGTGTTATACAAGTACATTTATGAATCTAAGTCCTTCACTTTGCAACAATTATTTATGAAAGAAGCAATAAATATTAATGCCTAATTTCCTCTAAATCATATCATGTTTTCAAGCTCAGCATGCGTCACTTATAAGCTGTTTAGAATTATTCTTCTGAATAGTTTTATCAGATGCTGTGGCGAATTTGTTCTTGTGGGACCTCTAGTAAAGCATTCATAGCACCTGAAATCTCAACTCATCTGTATTAAGTGTACAGAAGGGCATTGCTAAGTGGCTGTGAAAGTTTTACTAGCAGGGCTTAATGATCACTTATTTATTTTATTTTCTTCTCAGTTAGAAAAGACATGTCATGCTGACAGTATTGCATGATTGTATTTGTTTGGATGATTCTATTTTAAACAGTAATGGTACAATACTGCATTACTGTGATCTCAAGCAGCACATCACAGAAGAATTTGCTGTCAAAAGAAATAACAGTTCTTCTGATGGTCCTGATTTTATTTTCCATTTTTTTTAGTGCTTCTGATTGAATCACTACTGCTGTGCCTTAAAAATTTACCAAATCTATTAGAGTACTGTGTAACATGAATACCATTGCAATAATTATTTTGTACACTTCTTTCATGCTTAGGAAGTGTTTCTCTAGAACACTGTTTTTTAGCGCCATAGGCATCTCAGGTCATTATGTGCCACCTTAAAACAGGATTTTTTTTTTTTCTTTTTAAGTTTCTGAAGTTTTCTGACATCCCAGTGGACTCCATAGCCTTTACAGAGTCCATATGGATTCTGTCTGTTTCAAACAGAACTTCTTGCTGAGAATATCAAAATGGTAGAGAAAAAAAAAAATTGCTTTCATTTTCTATGGACTTGATTTTTTTCTTATTTATTTTGTAAACTTTTCTTTACCTTCCACATGTATATAATGCATGTGCATTGTTGTGTTGTCATTGGCTTTTTATACATCTGTTAATTCAAAAGGTTTGGAAAGCAATGCAGTCATGTCCATCTCTTCTAATCTCAACAGCGATGGAAGGGCAGGACAAACATAGCCAAATAATCCCTTCTGGAGAAGACAGGACAAATGGAATCCAACTTCTGTCATTGTCTACAAAGACTATGGACGTAATGAAGTTGTGCTTAACTCGGGCCACAGGAACCATAAACTAAACCAAGTGTATGGTATATCCAACATTTGTAATTTATTTTTTTTAATTAGATCAGAGCACAGTTAGAAATGTTTAAAGTGGTTTTTTTTTCTTCTGTTTAAACATTAGAAAACTGCAAGAAAGTCTCCAGCCTGCAGATTTTATAATACTTAAAATTTTGACAAAAATATTTTAAAAAGTCATTTTAAAATATATTATAAAACAGCAAATCACTCTCTCTTACGTCTGAGGGATGGTTTGAAAGTAATGCCTCCTATTTTATTATGTTGTCCCATAATGTCAGAAGTGGATATTGGTGGTATGGCAGTAGATGAACTTTTTCACCAATATTCCATTCCATGTTGTTGCTGAGGGACAGTCTGACAGGATGGTGTCTGACATGGAAATGTGGAAGTAAAGGAGTGTCACGGAATTCCTCTGTGGAGGAAAAAAACTGCAATGGAGAAAAAACTGCATCCGTTCATATTCATGGATGCTTCCTGAAAGTTCAGAGAGACCAAACTGGGTGTGAGCACAGGGAGGCAGAGGGTGTTGTGTTTCAGCAGTAGTGACAGCAACTGTACATCAACTTACATTGGTGCAGGTTTTTATGAGTGTGACATGCAGGCTCGTGTTCATTGATGATGAAAATGTATGACTGATGGTGGTGACCATGTTGAAGAATAGTGTTTAATAGCTGAGAATTTGCTCTATGAAGTAGTGTCATTGTGATCTTTGTTGTAGTTTCCATGAAAATAAACAGGAGGCATTACTTTTGGAGAAAGCTATGTATATCATTTTGGAAAGAGTCTGCTGCTGATGGATAAAAATGTGTGCTCTACCGACTTTACTGAAGCTGGAATGTTTTTTGAAGTAAATCACTTGCTGGAAAATCAATGGAACTTAAATGCCTCAGCTGAGAAGCAATATGTTGAGAAATAACATCCTCTCTATTTCCTGAGGTATTTGTAAAAATCTGGATGTTCATTGTTTTTACCATTTTATGTATTTGTACATTGTTTATCACTTGTTACTCAGAAATCTGGTGTCTTTCCTTATGCAGCATCACTTCTGCTTTACAGTATTTAACAATGATGGATAAGCAGTCTAATCTCCCTTGCTATTACGTAAAATTCTGGATTATTTTTTAAAAGTGCAGGTGAATAAATTTAGTAAGTTTAGTGCTCAATATATTTGCCTTTGACTGCGTGATTGGGTTTACAGTAGAATTCTTTTTCCTTCTTTAACATTTTCTAAAAGGGTTGAGGGAACAGAAGAAAAGAAATAAAACCACACACACACACACAGACACACACATTAATGAGACGGGTTATGGTTTCCAAAGCCAGGAAATAGTTTCTTAAATTTACCCTCTTGGCATGGCAGTTCAGATAGCATGTAATATTTGTCTCTCTTCCACCTTTGATAGAGGTTCATATTACAAAGTGAATTTTGTTTCCTTTCTACTGAAGGCTAAAGTTCCTTTAATGACATTATGTGAAACTGTCCCTTTGTGGTTTAAGCAACAACATTTTTTCCATATTGGCCTGAAATGATATTCCTTTGACCAGTTTTATTTTTTAAAGTAGAAAACCAGATTATTTTTGTATAAAGCATACTGTATATGTCATATCTTAAAAATTACTGTCCTTTCTGGTTATCAGGATGGATTTTAACCCTTCAGTGACTCATTCCTACATTCTTTCCTATAACAGAAGTTTTCAATAATGAAAAAAATGTCCTACCCCACCTAAATTTGTTTTATTTCTTTGTTCTGTTTAGTATTTGGTAAATCAGGCTACTTTATTTGTATATATTAAATAATGGCTATAATCAGCTAAGACCAGGTATCTGTGCTTATAAAGCTGTTCTGGAATACAGGGTTTAAATATAGGGCTTTCAGAAATGCACTGGGCCTTTATTTTGGCATCAAATAATTTTCACTTAACCTTCACATTTTGTAATGTCCTTCAGTTTTTTAATAATTTACAGGAAACAGAAGAGTATTTATCTGAATTACTTTGGAGAAGTTAATTACTAAATATTCAAGAGAGTAGATTTGTATTACGTACACTTCAAATTAAAAATAGATCTCAGTGTAACAAGCAGTTTCCATCCCTTTGTGGAGTGGAATAGAGCAGAACTGAATCACAAAGCAAAACAAAGCAATTTTCTTATTTTTCTCAAAATTTTCATGAAGGCCATGTTTTGGTGATGGTGAAAGTATTTCTTGAATATTCAGAGCTCAGTCACATTATTGGTCTTTCTTTTCAGCTGTCTCACTGACAGCTGAAGATGAAATTCCATAGAACAATGAAAATACTCTTCTTATATTCTTCGAAATCCATTTGTGAGGTAAGAAGTCTACTTATCAGTTCATCTCTGGCTTAGAGGCATAGTGGCTGCACCAAGGAGCACTGAATATATTTTTCATGAATGAAAATGCCAATACTACCATTACAGTAAAGAACTAGCTATTATTGTAACACTGATACCATTTATTTGTTACAGTCAAATGTTAACTGTGGTTCTCTAAATCTCCTCACATTCAAACTGCATACCTAGTATATCTGTGCCTCTTTAAGGCCTATATTCCCAGTACTGAAGTCAGTTGCAGACCAGTTATCTGGAAATGGAGGAGAATGCAACACAGATTCCTGAGGTGTTTGTTTTTTATTTTTATTTTTATCTAACTGTAAAATTTAGAAATAGATGTAGAAAAAATCTGGTAGGTTTTTCCTAGGAGGAATAGGAGGAACAGCTATTTTTGCTGCTTTTCAGAACAGCTTATTTTTGGTGTTTTAATTTCAAAATGTTGGTATTTCCATCTAAATCAAAGCAATCCCTAAATAAAAGTCCATCTTGGGCTTTATTTATTTATTTGTTTATTACATACAAAAATATTTTTCACTCTAGCAGAAGTCATTGCAGCCCTTTACTTGGAAGCATAACTGAGCTGTTAGGAGTATGTTGCTTTTCTGTGTAAAGAACTAAATGAGATTTTAAATCTGAAATGCATGTTAGCGCTGTATGCAGAGGTACAGCAGAACAGAATGTGATAACCTCAGTCTTTCAAAAATCTGTAATCTAATGTCTCTGGGAATGCTGACAACATTGAAAGAGGTTACTGTGGTTGAACTAAAGCAACATTCAGCATTTATCATTTGTACTAACAACAATAGCGACCATGTTTCCAAAGCTAAAGTTGCAAATCTGCCCTTACTCAGCCTGTAAGAAGGAGATACCTGTTTTCTTGCCTTAATACCATAGGAATTTTTGGTATCGTGTATGTGAGAAAATATGTGATGATTTTTTTCAGTATCAAGGAGGCACCTTCTTGTTGCTATTTAGAGCTAAATATTCTTGGAAATCAATTATTAGTGTATTTTCATTAAGGTACTATATTTAAATACAAGAGCTGCATAAATAAGCCTGTTTTAGGTTTAGTTCTGCTATCTTTATTTAGGCAAGTGGCTTCTCAGTATGTGTTTTTCTTCAGTAGGCACAGTGATTCTTTTGCCGTCTGTTATTTCATCTGTCTTCAGATCAGAATCGTTTTTATCTTAGACTGCTTTTCTCATCTGTCATCTACATTGCACTAGGGTGTCAAAAAGCATTTCTACACTTAACTCCACATTAATAATTTTAGTAGTTGATATGCCCAGTGAATGACAGTAATTATGAAGGCAGTTGTTGCCACTAACATAATCTCTTTTAATGTGAATTCTGCCACTCTTAATTTGTTTATTAAAATAAAGCCTACTTGCACATGTGCCTAATTGTAACGATTATTGCTCCTGCAAAG